GCTTAGTTGCCTGTCCACTAACGCCAGAACCATGGGAAACAAGCAGGAGGAACTGGCCCTCCTGTTAACCAACAACCAATACAACGCCATAGGGATTACGGTGACCCGGTGGGACTCCACCTATGACTGGGCCACAGGCATAGTGGGATACACCCTGTATAGGAGGGATCATGTTGGGAACAAGGGTGGAAGAGTTGATCTCTACATGAAGGAACATTATACCTCCCTAGAAGCAAAGATTGGAAACAAGGAAGGACGACTTGAAACCCTCTGGGTCAAGATACAGGGAAAGCATGGGGAAGGGAATTTGACCGTAGGAGTTTCTACAAACCTCCAAACCAAGAGGAAGAGATCAACTGGAAATTGCCTGGAGAATGGACAGAGGCTGCATGCTGTCAGAGCATGATCATAATGGGTGACTTCAACTACCCAGACATCTCATGGGATGAGCACTCAACAAGATCTGGTCACTCACAAAGCTTCTTCACTTGTACTGAGGAGCTCTATCTAGCTCAAGAAGCCTATGAGCCGACCAGGGGCAAGGCACTCCTAGGCTTGGTTCTGGCTAAAGGGAACGATCTAGTGAGCAACCTGAGGATCGAAGGGAAACCGGGTTTCAGTGACCATGAGAGGATCACTTCCTCCATCCACCATAAATCAGGAAAATCAGACAGTGGGGTAGAAATCTTTGATTTTAAGAAAGCTGACATCCACAAGCTGAGGAGATTGGTTGGTGAGGCCCTGCGGGACCAAGGTCCTATGAGGAAGGGAGTACAAGGAGAGTGGTTGTTCCTCAAGGAAGCAATCCTAAAAGCTCAAAGAAAGTTGATTCCCTTTCATAAGAAAGGCAGCAAAAGGGCAGGGAGACCCTCATGGCTCAATAGGAAAATCATGGACCTCCAGAAATCAAAATGAGAAGCCTACAAGTGATGGAAGTCAGAAATAGCTACCAAAGAAGAGTACATGGCTATAACCTGCACCTGTAGGGAGCCAATCAGGACAGCAAAAGTACAAACCAAATACAAATTGGCAACCAGAATCAGGGACAACAAAAAGTCCTTCTTTAGATTTGCAGGGAGTAGGAGAATAAATAAGGAAAGCATAGGATCCCTGATGCCTGATGAATAAAATGGGATGGCTGATAACTGACACTTATGACAAAACTGAACTCCTGAATGAATACTTTACACCTGTATTCCATCAATCCAAAGATGTTAGCCTGCTTGACAGGATACAGGATGATCATGGTGGGGACAACCACCCTCCCATAGTTGGTGTAGATCTTGTGGGAGACCACCTACAAAGACTAAATATCTACAAGTCAGCAGAACCAGATGAACTATACCTGAGAGGGCTAAAAGAACTGGCCGACGTCACCACATAACCTATGGCCAAGTTATTTGAAGATTTGTGGCACTTGGGAGAGGTCCCAGAAGACTGGAAGAAGGCCAATGTTGTGCCTGTCTTTAAGAAAGGTAGAAAGGAAGACCCTGGGAGTTACAGGCCAATCAGTCTGATCTCAATCCCATGTAAAATCCTGGAAAAAATTATCAAAGAGTCCATAACTCACAGGCTAACAGAAAGTAGTATTCTGATGGATAGCCAACATGGCTTCGTTACTTACAGGTCATGCCAGACCAACCTCATCTCCTTCTACAATCGGGTAACTCACCACCTGGATAGGGGAAATGAAGTTGATGTCATATACTTGAATTTCAAAAAGGCCTTCGACCTGGTCTCCCATGATGTCCTCATGGTTAAATTGGAATAATGCTACCTTGACTACTTTACAATCCAGTGGCTAGGTAACTAGCTCCATGGTAGGACCCAGAGAATACTGATAGGCAGGACTGAGTCGTCATACCAGGAGGCGACTTGTGGCTTCCCTCAGGGCTCAGTACTCAGACCAGTGCTTTTCAACGTGTTCACCAATGATTCAGATATTAAAAGCAAACTGGCAAAGTTCACTGATAACACCAAACTATGGGGGAGCGTGGTCATGCTCCAAGACAGACTGGCACTACAAGCCAACCTGGACAGCCTCGCAAGATAGGCAGACCTCAAACTGATGTCGTTTTATACAGAGAAATGCAAAGTGCTCCATCTGGGGAGAGATAATCCACAACACACTTACAGGCCCGGCAGTGCTACACTTGCCAGCACCACAACTAAACGAGACCTGGGTGTCATGATAGACAACAAAATGAACATGAGCCACCAATGCAATGCTGTAGCTGGCAAAGCTAATCAAACCCTGGTGCGCATCTACCAAGGCATCTCAAGCAAGGCTAAAGATGTAATTCTCCCATTCTGCTTGGCCTTGGTGAGATCGCAGATGGAGTACTCTGGCCAGTTCTGGGTGCTGCATTTCAGGAAGGATGTGGAGAAGCTCAAGAGAGTCCAAAGGAAGGTCATGCATATGATTAGAGGCCTAGAAACCAGATCATATGAGGAGAGGCTGAAAGACTTGGGATTTTTCAGCCTGGAGAAGAGAAGACTCAGAGGGGACTTGGTGGCAGCCTATAAGTATATCAGGGAATTACATCAGGGTCTAGGGGAGCAACTATTCAACAAGGCCTCCTAGGGGAGGACTAGAAATAATGGGCACAAGATGACTGAAGGTCACTTCAGATTAGACATAAGGAACAACTTCTTTACAAATCGAGTGCCAAGGGTTTGGAACAGGTTCCCCCCAGAGGTGGTACAGTCACCCATTCTGGTGATCTTCAAAAGGCATCTTGATGCCCATCTTGCTGGGGTCATCTTACCCCCAGTGGTCTTTCTTGCCCAAGTGCAGGGGGGCTGGATGGATGATCTGTAAGGTCCCTTCCAGCCCCTAACAACTATGAAACCTTGTCTTCATGCCTTAAGGGTACCCATAAAAAAACAGATGTCTATACTCC